GTACTTTATCGAGGATGCAGATCGCGGAATGTACTCGAGATCCTCGACGAATCTCGATACTCGCGAATTAGACGGCAAGTTCTCCGAGGATCACTCGGCGAAGTTGCCGGTTGTTTTTGCGACACCTCGGCACACCGGTCCCTTCTTCTTTCGAGCAAGACGCGAACCTAATTTGCCGTCGCGAAACTCCACGCTGAAAGTTCCGACGGGTAAACGGGCGTCAGCGAAGCGCAGCGAATTTATGGAGAAACACCGTGGCGTCGGGCGACCCACTTGACGACCTCGTTAACAAACAACAACGATTAACCGACCGAAAGTTTCCGCGAGCTGTCTGGCGGCACATCACGGCTCCCTGTCGTCGATATAGCCATCACTCGCGCAGCGAGTACGTTCGAATTGCGAAAGACCGCGAAAGATCGTTAAATCGCAAATACCCGGACGCGGCAATTCGGGAGCCCGTCGTGGAAATTTTACCGGCTCCCTTCTGCGTCGTTGCAATTAATTAACGCGAATTAACAGGGCCGAGAGAGGCGGCTAAATAATCAGTGCGCGCATGCGCGCACATTTATCCACGCTCGCGTAACCATAATTAATGTACAAACATCTCCCCCTCCCCGTCTCTCCCCGCTCCGATGGAAATCCCTCGACGAATTTCCGCAGCGCGGATTCCTTTTTCCTGGCTCGCCGATTATCGCGAGTGAAACCGAATCGGCCGGATCCAGGATGCCAATGTCCGGTGTCCGCGACCGGAAGTCAACATAGCGGCGAACGGATACGGCAAACGATCGAGTTACAACGGGCATACGTTGCGTCACTGACTCGCGACAGTGTTAAAAAGTCGGCTGCCCGGTGCTCTGAGAAAAATTATTTCGTATTTGCCAAACCATAATCACACGTATACTGAAAGAACCATAGGAGAACCGTTCGTGTGATAAACGTACTGCAGTATCAGTCACAATAAAAGCTTGTATGCATATTGCTATTTATTCGTTATAAAGAAAGAAAATTAGTATAAAAATTCAAGATTCATATTCTCATATATTAAGTAAAAATGTGTATTATATTATATGAAGATAAAACTTTTTCTCTCTCTCTCTCTCTCTCTCTCTCTCTCTCTGTCTCTCTCTCGCTTACATGAGAAAATTCTATATAGTTCCACTAAAAATATATTTTTGTTATTCAAGAATATCCAATAAACATCGAATATCAGAAACTAAATATCGATGTTATAACGTCCGACACAACAATGTAACTGTTATATAACACATGGTGTTAGGTAACAGTTATTGATATTTGGTGTTTATTAGGTACTTTTATAAGAAAAATATATTGGATACACTGAGACACTTATTTAGTTGACTCAAACAAAATTTTTGTTTGAATATGGGCGAACAAATGTTTCGGTTGTGAGAACCGAAGTTTGGTTCTCTGAAACGAAAATGGAAAAAGTTTGATTCAAAAAACTAAATTTTGATTCTCACAGTCAGAACATTTGTTTGCCCATATCAAAACAAAAATTTTATTTGAGTCAATTAAATGAGTTTCTCAGTGTAGAAAGAACGATATCTTCAAATTAAAAGTGTTATCATAGGTTTAGAGATATCGTTCTTCCTATCCAATATTTTGTCCTCTCAATTCATGCAAGTTATTTTCAAATAACAAGAATATATTTGTAGTGGAATTAGAATTTTTTCATGTAAGACTATATATTTTTGTTTATATATGAAAATATGAATCTTGAATTGATACTAATTTTGTTTTCTGTGTAGAACAACGAGAAAATATAGTTATAGGCGCCGAAAACAACTAAATAATCTCAATAATAAAACAGTTTACTCTCTTAGTGTGTCCAATGCCCGTTTCACGATTAATCCTCATTTTGCATTACATTTTGCATTACATTACATTTTGCATTACATTACATTTTGTAATTACACGTAATTATTCGTTGCTGCGCACAAACTGCTTCTATCTATATTTTCACTTTTGTGACATTAAAATACCTATACTAGACCTCATACGATTGATCAAAGATCTAATTTATGTGCAAATTTATCGTGCGCGGCTGTATCACGCCCCGATAATAGTCTAAAAGTGGAGAATTAGGACACACTTAAGCAAATTTTTAGAAAGAAAGAGAGGGAAACAGGTTTATACGTGTGTATGTGTGTGTATTTTATTTACTGAAACTCGCGTATATAATCTTTGTGAATCTAATTTCTCTATCTGACATCTTTTCTTTCAATTCTCCGGGCGCAAATTTTTTATTTTGGAACAGATTCCTAATTAATCGCGCCATAAATTACATCTATTATGTCGCTGGTGAGCGGGCGCACACACACACAAAAAAAACCTTATCTGTTATCGCGTTGAGTCCACACCGTTATACTTCATTTGTTCCTCACGATTCTCGTTTTCCTTCTTTCTTTCTCTCTCTCTCTCTCTCTCTCTTGCTCTTTTTTCTCCCCCGGCGGACGAGAAATTATAATCATACACACAGCTGGTGTTGCCTTTCCTGGCGTGTCGTGTCCCATATTTCTGCCAAGAAGGCCGTTGTCACAATCTCAATATATTTACGTGCTTGTGAACTTGCGCTTTTACGTTAATTGCACTTTTGTCACGCTTCGTGACAATGATTCCCATTAATATGAAGATTAGATAACCTCGCGGAACGCACTCGGATAACCGCGAAACGTAAAGGCATTCTCGCGTTTCCGTTGCTCACTCTGACAGTCACGTAAGTAATATTTTTTCGAGATTGCAAACTGAGGTGTATTTGAATATCTTAAGAGTGTGCGGATAACTGTGTCGACTAATTGGAACTAGGTTAAACTGTAAACGAGACACCATTTGCGTTTCGAAATTTTACCCGTGCCACTTTTCAGTCCGGCGAGACGATCCGGCCGTTTGATCAGCCGCGCTAAATCTTTTTTTGATTTTGCATGTGCGAAATCACACGAGGAAAACACGTTTAATGAGAACGCAAAGAATCCCTGTGTTTTACACGGCGCAGCGCATCGACGTAACGTGATAAGGTATAATTCTTTATCACCAGTAAAATGCGGTCATTCGCGGTACATAAAACCGCTCGGTTCTTCTCTTCACGTCCTTTCGCGTGCGTAATGTTTACGCATAATTTTAATGACTCAGTTCTTAACGAACAGCAAGAAGTACTACCTTCCCAACTACTCTCCTGCTGTATTACTTCGCACTATGCTGTATTTCTTTCCGTCAGCTTGTGCTCATGTTAATCGCCGAACGAATAAAAAATATCCTCGTATATTTAAAGAAAATGAGACATGTTTTTAGATACATAAAACGCGCAGGTTTTAATTTTCCCACTCGTTTCTATTGCAGTCGAATAAGTCTGGATCTACAATAAGTACAATAAGCACTATATTCCTAAGTTTCAAGCGTTATTGCACCTTTCGACAGTTTACCTGGCTAAAACGTTAACTTTGGCGTTTTATTAAAACGCCATTTATATTTGAGCCGTAAGAATCAGAGATAATAAGTAACTTTGTTTCCTTCAGCCAGAACGAAATGCGGTTCCTGTTTTTCTGATTAATACAACCAAAATTTTTTCCATCCAGATTCCGCAAAATAATCCAGCGAATGGCAATTAGTACTCTTAACAAATCGTTTTGCTGTCCACATAGTAACTGACAGATTTTGCTGCGGCATCGAATTTGTTATGCCAGCAAATTATTCGTCTCCGTGTGTTATAGATCCAGATTTGTGGAACGGAGGATGAAGATGACATTGTCTTCGTTTGCTCGTAGGCATTGAAATAATACTTCTTCCAGCGCATATTTGCTTTAGCACTCGCGGATCCCCTCGCGACATAATACGTAGACGTGTGAAGGAATTTCGGCATGAGCAGCCGACGCAACGGAATGGCCGACGGGGAATAGAACGGGGAAATTGCGGACTCGCGATGAAAATGCTACTTCGCATGCACTTGCCTCCACTAGGAGGAATTAATCGGTTCCTGCAATTCGTCCCAGGCTCGCCGTGCTATGTACACTGGCAATCCGTTCCGCAAAGCCCGGCAAATAGGAAAACGTGATTAATCGAGGTCCGCCCGGACGTGCTTTTTTCTGAAGCCGCAGGCGAGACGCGCACCTCTCGAATTATCCGAATCCGCGAGCGTGCACCCGTCGAGATGATTTTTCCGCGCGAAAATTCACCGTTAGCAGCCAGCCCAGGACCGCGGTCCTGCGTAATCTCGTTACATCCGGTCGGAACAACGTCAGGAGCAACGTCAGTAGGATGTGCGCGATGATCCTCGGTGCGCGCGATATCGAGCGCAAATGGAATTATCGCACCGACGTACCCGAGACACGAACGCTCCACTTTTTTTTCTTCCTCTCCTTGTTCGTGTGTCTCTTTGTATTTTTGCCGCGTATTTCTGATCTCTCGAATCTCTCAATTAATTACCGCGCATGATATTAACACGCTCCGTGACGAGTTTACGTGACTCTACTCGCGTTTGTTACAAATTGTCGAAACAAGTATGCGTGTATATATATATGTCTGTTATTACGGTGTGATTTGTACATTATCCTTTCCTCTTGATAAGATAGATTCTTTTGCGGAGGGAATCTTGCATATATTTTAAGGCATACTTTACGCGTCAATTCAACGAGGTGAATTCATTCCGCGTGAACCACGGGAAAGCGCGTTCCATCATCGGGTTTAGAATCTTGCGAAAAATCTAAGCCCATTAATCCTGATTCCTCCGAGAATCGTTCAGAGCGACCGTTCGCATCCCTCAACGGCGCATCCCCGAGTGTTTAACACAACCCGCTCTCGCGGATTCGCCGACCGTGAAAACCAACCCTGACTGAAATCACTTTCCCCCTTCCGCGTGTATCGATCCCGGCTGATCTCTGCCTCTCTATCCCGTTTGCTCCCCCGCCGTTTCTTTTTCTCTCATTCACCCCCACAGAGAGAACGCACACGAATTAACGTGCTCCCGTTCTGTTCTCGCATTGCAGGTACAAATCGAATCGTTGCGTGAGCGGGGGCGGTAGCCGCGGAAACGGTGCGACTGGCGGTACCGGGGGCAGTTTAGGTACTGGAGGCGGCGGTCGCGGGGGCGGTGGTAGCCCCGGTAGGGGCAGCGGCGGCACCGGCGGAGGCGGCGGCGGCGGCGGAGGAGGCGGCGGCGGGGGAGGAGGAGGAACAGACGGTGGCGTGGTGCCCACTGCACCACCGACTACCGGCCCTCACCCTCACCACCATCATCCCCACCAACACCATCATCACTCTACCACCACGACCACCACCACCACCACCACTACCACCACCACCACCACCACCGGGGGCACGAGGCATCACAGGCACAAACTGCCGGCCGGCAAGCAGTGCACCGAGCATCGTCACCACCCACATCACCACCGTCATCACGCACACCATCGCTCCCACCATCGGGGCATGAACATGGGCCAAAAAATTTCAGGTCAGACGGCAGAACTACGTACAGAACTGTGTCGCACGTCGCACAGAACGCCTCCCGATCGCGTAGGATCGAATCGGCTTGATCGCTCTATGCGAACGTAACCGACCTTGAAACCGTACCAGTCGCTGGCGAGATTTTTCTCGCTATTGTGAAGACTCGATGCGTAAATTATAACACACACACTGTTCTCGGTAGACATCGAATTATCATGTTCACAGGATCTACCTGATGTTGAACAGGTACTAACATAAAATTTTGGGCTTTTCGTCCATATTGGACGATATGGCTGCCAGGTCGTTTTCCTCCGACAATATGATGTTGGGCTATCGGCCTTAACAAAGCGTGTCTCTGACGTTCGTTCTTTAAATCGTTCTTTCTTTTTTTCTTTGAAACGGATTTTTTCTGTCTACGACTTAGGCCGTCTATTTTACATTGCATTTCCTGTATTAGTTAACGCCTAACATTTGGAGCCAGGCAACAGTCCTCTTTTCTCATTTGTGCCTTTCAAGACGTCAGAACATTTAAGCTGCCTTTTTCGGTCAACTTACATTGTATTCCTTCTTACCTGTTCGTTTGGAAAATCGTCGACAACTTCCATCGCGTCAACAAAAGGTCTTGGAATCCTGTTGTTCTCTCGTATCTATGTACATTATCGAAATCCTGGAAGACTCATCGGTCTATCCGTTCTAATAATGGTTGCTAACCATTCGTTCCGAAAACATATTCAGCAACGCCCCTTCGAAATATTTAGTAACATGATCATCTTATCTTACAATTCTTTACGTTGATAAGCAAACATCGGGTGCAAAGAAAAACGTAAGTCAATCAATTGGAGAATTGGAGAATGTCCGTATTCAATTGCGGATCCGGCCGTTTCGTCGGTGATCGACAATTTGTCCCGTGATCTCTGCCAGGTCGTTTTCCTCCGACAATAATAGTGATGTCATCAACGGAACTCGCCGCGTTTGACGCGGCCGACGCTTTTCCACACGCAGCGGCTTACGAACATACGCTCGGTGAATTTATTTTCCTTCAACGGCTCCATCCGGTTTCGTAAGAAACCCGCATCTGCCGAGTGTCGTCATCGACTACTAGATGCGGCTTCAAACTTTGGACCGCGGCGTGCGAAAGTGACAGGCGAGATAGAAAAGTACGCTTCACTTAGGTCGGGGCTGATTGTAAAACGCTCCGGATAGAAGCTCGTCTTTCATTGTTTTTGTACGCTCGTCAAATTACATCGGCGAGGTTCGGCGGGTTGTGGCGAGTTAATGACCGCAACGGCTAATTACACACCGCATGCGATGATCCTCATTAAGAGGCTCGTGAGTCCGTCTCGAGTCTGCAGGTAATTCTCATCGAGTATAGTCGACGAAATGCCTCCTGAAATACTCAGCGGTTGGAATTCTTTGTCGAATGTTTTGTACTCGTTCCTTTCTTTCAATGGTCTAAACACGAACTACGGTTCCTAATTACGAAAACTATATCTCGTGTACAAGCATGGGAGTGACTCACCTTTCTTACCTTTTCTTCACTTATTTCAAAACATTTCACTTTTTCTCACACTTTGCTAACTCGACTTGAGCCCTTTACAAGAAAAAGCTCTATTACAAGAAATCATGTTCAATAACTAGCTTCTTTCAAGACAAAACAAAAGATTCAAAGAAAATAGAAACTAACAATGACTCCGACTACACAATATTCATAAAGTTTAGAAGAACTGTAATTTTATTTTTAAGCTTTTTCCTCAAGTACTGTTTTCATTTCATTTCATTATGTGTATTTGAAGAAACACGAAGAATTTAATTTTTTTGCGGAGAGTTTTATCGTATCTGAATATGCGCCTAAGACTGGACTTAAAATAAATTTTAGATTCTATGTATTATGCAACTTTTTTGTTTCCAAAAATTCAAATATTCCTCTTCGTTGATTTTTATTACAAAGTCAGTATTTTTAATCTCTTAGAAAATTGATTTCTTTTAAAACTATCTTTTATTTTCTAGTACTATTTTCTTACTTTTTCAAAAATGAAACTTTTCTCACAATTTTTGACAATCAAACTGTTCCTCTGTCTGTGTATATAATCCATTTATTAGAAATCCTCAATTATCGTTGACATAATCGATGAAGCATTCAGCTTCACTAGTGATGAGATTCATCCTTCATTTATAGTAATGGAAATGACATTACATATGTATAACGCTATAAAAACTAGTGGTTAACTCTTATTTGTCTCTTTTATTGTCTTTTATTTGTTTTGATTGAGTATCATCAGAGTCGTCAAATCCTCATCATTTTCCAACTATTCCGGTACTCACTGCAGTCTCTCTATAGAGACATTGCAAATGTTTGAGATGATAGTAGAAACATTTACATTATTTTGTTAAACTTATATAACATAATATGCCGCAAATACAATTTATCGGCGCTCATTTTCGATTAATAAATGCAGCATGTAAACACAATATAAATGCACTAATGCTGAACGCATATGATCAATTTAGCAAGCTCTTCCTGTCTCATCCCGATTATGCCTATAGCGTCTATGAAAAAGATGCCTGTGAAAGAAACCAAGATGCCAACCACTCGCCCCAAACTGCATTTGAAAAATGCAGAAAAAGAAATGGCTCAGGTCAAACTATGTCAAAATTATGTGATCACTAGGAAAACGATATTATGACGATTGTCCAACCGATTTTCTCTATCCTTCGCTTTTGACATCGAAATAACCTTCCGTGAAAAGCTAGGTCACCACAGTCGCCACTATTGTTAGCCAATAAGTCTCCTACGGCCATAAAGTCCACGAATATCGGTTAATTGCCAAAAACAATTTAACGTTACAGTGTTGTAACTTTGCGATAGTCACGTAGTTTAAAATCCCTTAGGTACAAAGTCTGGGTCGCCGACATAAAGTATGGGACGAAACATCCGGCAAGATTCTTTTGATCTTTCGTGGTGACAAACCTGGAAAGAAAGAAGCAGTTGTTCGGGCATAGATCTCTCTTTCTATTTTCCTTTCATTGATTGAATTGATTGATTGAATTGATTGATTGAATTTTGCCTAACGAGAAAGTCGTTAAAATCGGTTGGACGATCGTCATAATATCGAATATCTTTAACATGTTGCAGTCTATAAGTATGTAACGTTGTATATAAATATCGCGTAAAACTGAAATTATATTACGTACATAATATATAGTTACCAAATATAGTTCCTATTTTATTTATACAATGTTTATATAAAGAAATGTATATAAAAAATTTTTAAGTACCTCATGGTTTATAGAAGTCTTTACTACGCAAATATCTTGTTTCTTTCTACATCTGTCAACACGGTTTCGGTTCCATGCTTCAAACTACATTGAAGCAAAATGTTGGAACTAGTCAATGTCTATATTTGTTGTTCCTAGGAAATCAGGGAAACCAATTTAACCTTCCGGAGAGCTGGGAGTATCGCTAACGATTATGCCCTTTTAATTACAAGTTCCATCTTAAACGAGCATCACATACAATTTCTTGTTTTAACTTGAGAGTCAGGAAAATATATTTAGTGTTCGATAGAGAATACATTCAAAAGAAGTTATTGCTTATGAAACAAGTTCAAAATGTATCTCGTCAGACTGTCCTATAGAGCTCGTCTCATCGCATCACGCGGACTAATTCACCAATCCTTTTTAATTAACCTTTTCGGCTGAATCGTCGACTTTAGTCGGCAGCCGCCAATGTTCACGTACGGCTGCGCGTCGACTTTGGTCAATAGATGAAACCAATATGTATCTTTTAACCTTGTTATTGACCTCTATATAATTATTTCATCGAAAGACAGTACAATGAAAATGCTTTGGACAATCGACCCTATATAACTTGAATAAAATATATTTATAATGAATAATGTTCATGAAAAGTTAAAAATTTCTATAATATCTTAAATAGCATTTTGTAAAAATAAAAGCTTTTATAAAATGCTGTAAAATATGTGGCCATCTTTCAATGGCGGCCTGATGTTCCAGCAACACTAATTTCAATATAAATCCGTCTGGTAAAAATCTGAGCACAAGGAACAGCTGTGGAAACGAATTTACAATCTATGAAGGTTTTAGAGACGATATTGAGTTTCTGATCTTTCTCGATTATTGACCTTTACTGTTGTTCCTTGTCCTCGAAATGTTCACATTTGGTCTTCGTGCTTTCCCAATCGCCAAAACCGACTTATTTTTCCAAACTTACTTGCGAACTCAACTTACTACTCAACTTACGTTTTAATCACGTTGTTTGCAAAAAGTAGTTTGTTGATTTATGTGCGTTATGCCCGTAGTCGGACCTTGTATTAAATTCATCTTCAGATGCATCGTAGCCAATAAAATGAGCCGTGCAGTATCTGAAGATGAAATTAAGGAGACCTTAAATATGAAACCCGACAATGAATACCGGCATTAGTATCGTGTCGAATATTACCTAAGACCTCTTCCGCAACGTTACAAATTTACTTGAATAGATTAGAAAAAAATGGAAATATTAAAAAAAAACTTTAATATAAAGTCGTTTCGACACGGTTGGCTACTAATTAGTGCTCTACGCACGTTAAAGTCCGAAGACTGCTCGATACATGTGCGTTAAGATGTCAAACAAACTTATCTTTCCGTTGGCAGTTCAAATTTCGAATGATCGCGCCTGACACCTCGCTCGAGCAGGCTCCCATCTTTGCTAACTTGATTGAATATCACGAAACTAATAAATATTTACATTTCGAATCCACTAGTTCGTTACATCCCAAGTCTTCTTGAATATCCAGCGATATTACCTCACAGATAGTGAGGTATGTTTGTCTCGCATTCAACAATATTTCCGCGCATTGAACCTGCGCACTTTCTCTGGGTCGTCCATTTGTTTGCCGACACGATGGGGGCACTTGAAACGCTTCCCGTCTAAAAAGTCCTCGACGTTTCGTCGGGAGTTTCGTTTTCCCTCGGACCCGGGAACTCGGGGTGAAAATACGATAGAAATTCGGCATTGCCAGTCGCCGACATGTCGCGAAATCGTCCGGATCTGAAAGTTCAAGGTGCGCGTCCGTACACATCAAGACTCCGTCCGTCGCGCACAAGGCACGTCCGACAAATGAACGGTGGTAATCGTGGAATCTTATCTGACCGGTCTGTAACTTTTTTTTCCAGGCGGCGTGAAGAGCGTGACGCGCGAGAGCGGAGCCGGAGCGGGCACCGGAGTAGGCGTCGGTGCTGGCGGCACGATGATGTACAAGTCGGTAGTGCCGCGCGAGCTATCACAGGATTTCTCGAGACCGGCGCGATTGGACGTACTCCTGGACATGCCTCCCGCCTCGCGGGAGACACAGGTTCACCACAGTTGGAACGCCGATGACCGTAGTCTCAACATATTCGTCAAGGTGACCGTTCTCGACGCGAAGCGTCGTCTGTCGCTCCGAAGCGTTTCTCCTTCTTCGTCTGTCTCTTGAATAAAGGAAGAGAAGGGTGGAGGCGAAGCGTTCGTAGCGCTCGCTGGGCCGCACGAGAGTGCTGTACTGACGTCTCGCTCTTTTCAGGACGACGACAAGTTGACGTTCCACCGACACCCGGTCGCGCAAAGCACAGATTGCATAAGAGGGAAGGTGGGATACACCAAGGGCATGCACGTGTGGGAACTCCACTGGAGCACGAGGCAACGAGGCACCCACGCCGTAGTGGGAGTCGCGACCGCGGACGCGCCACTCCACAGTGTCGGTTATCAGAGTCTGGTTGGCAACAACGAGCTCAGTTGGGGATGGGACCTTGGTAGGAACAAGCTCTACCATGACTCGAAAAATAACAACGGCGTGACGTATCCGGCCCTCCTGAAGCCGGATGAGTCTTTCATTGTTCCTGACAAATTCTTGGGTGAGTGCACGGTGTGCCGTTGGGTGAGTCACGTGTAATCCGTTACACGTGTGTCGGTATATCTTCATAACTCATCGAGAGAGAGAGAGAGAGAGAGAGATTTATCGAAAAATTCTCTGAATTCACTTTCTTCCTCTGTGTATCGAAGGCTGTCTTATCGTATATTCGATCTGTTCACAGTGGTCCTCGACATGGACGAAGGTACGTTAGCGTTCGTAGTGGATGGCCAGTACCTTGGTATAGCCTTCAGAGGACTCAAAGGAAGGAAGTTACACCCCATCGTCTCCGCCGTCTGGGGACACTGTGAGATCACGATGAAATACATCGGCGGACTTGATCGTACGTAGAATAGATCTATCTGAGAGTAGAGACCGAAAACTGAAAGATACGTCTCATTCCCTTCCTCTTGACTAAATCCGGCCTTGTCTCTTCCTCGCAGCCGAACCGTTGCCCCTGATGGACCTCTGTCGAAGAGTAATTCGACAGCGAATCGGCAAGCAGAGATTAGAGGAGAAGATCAATGAACTGAATCTGCCGCAAGCGATGAAGACTTATCTCCTCTATCGCGACCGAAGGTAACCACCGAGTGAATCTCCTATCACCGTCGAATACGAATGCGAACGTCACTGCGCTACAACGTTGTTGGCACTACGACGCACAGGCGACCGCCCGCTACCCATCCTCGCATGCCACCGAGCACAGCAGCCCCTTAGCCGCGCGTCTCCGTTAATCAAGCGTCTGATGATCAACAAACTGTCACGCATGATGCGACGACGATTGAGTCGTGCACTGGCTCTTCGAGAAGACACGCCGAGAGAACGGCGCCGAGACACCGTACTGGTAACGACTCGCGGCCGCATTGCAATAAGCCGCGACGACCGCAGTATTTATCGTCGTTATCGTAGATGAGCTCGGCTCGATGGCGACTGCGTGATTCGCTCGATAAAAAAACGTGATTGTAAACGGAGCACATTAATCCATCGTGATTCTAACTCTAGTAGGCCTGAATTTAGTTAGTCTTTTACGCGATTTTAGTCTTAACGAATTCATTTATAAATTGCAAGGGGGAAAAAAAGAAGAACGCGGAAGACGAGGAGGACAGTTATTTTTGTTGTGTGTGTACGCTATTGAGAATATAATTTAATATTGTTGAATTTTCTTTTTTTTTCCTTTTTTTCGTTTTTTTTTAATGAGATTGCGTCGAGATAGGGCGTTATTGTTATCTTTTGCGCTGCAAGAGAGAAATAGGGAAAAATGACACCGAGTATGCGAGATTCCGAGAGCGGGCGGTTTCCCCCTCTCTTTTCTTTTATGTTCGCTTTATGAACGCGCGAGACGATGATAGCAATGCAATACACGACGACTCACCAACGGGGAAAGAGGACTGTTTTGCGCGAATGGACTCTGGAGACGCGTGGTCGACGAAGGAAGGCGAGGAGCTACGCGAGAACATGAAAGACCTACAGCGCTTCTCAGTTGGCCAGTAAAAAGTTAGACTTAATCGAGCCTGCAGGCTGATACGGGCATGTCGCTTACAACCGACAGTTGATCGACAGTGAATAGCGGGCTTGCTGTAGTTCAGCCGTAGCTGACGCGTACAACATAGTGGTGCGGCGGGAGAAAAGGATCACGTGAACGACGGCAGAAAATACGAAGGATGCAAGAAAAAAAAGACAGAGAGATAGAGAGAGAGAGAAAGAGAGAGGAAGAGAAAGAGATATGCCAGGATTGTCCACAACGCGATATCGCGTCCAACGAGAAATGAGAGTTTGTACGGTGCATGAATGGAACAATTAATTGAATTTGCGGCGGAAGTGTGTACAGTGATGGAAGCCAACGCAGATCCGGCAGCCACCTTCCAATAGAAACTCATTTTTCAAGTATTTTCTAAGCATGCTAGGTCTAATAAAATATAGTGGTGTGTGCGTGTATCATGGATGGAATAAACGGCAGATAGAAGAGAGGGAGCTGCGAAGTGAGAAGGAACAAAGGTTTAGCCCTGCCATAATCTTCTCTCGCTAGACACAGAGAAACGTAGACTTCACAGCTGAGCTTCACAGCGTTAGACGCGCGAAAATTATATAACTGGGAAAGGGGGGGGGGGGGGTGCGGGGGNATGCGTTGCAGAAAAACTAAGAAATGAATTATGAAGCTGGTCACGAAAGGATCGTAATAAGTAAATTAATAACGGAGGAGGATCGATAAAATTAATCAATAAAATTAATTACCTCATCTAAGCAATTAAAAATTAAAAATAATAAACGATGGTTGTTACTATCTAGATAACGTTTAGGAGGAGATGACTTTTAAGACGGGCATTGGCAGAAATTATTCCAAACACGAATTAAAACTGTCAGGGAGGGCCGCTACGTCAGTAATTATAAAAGAAAAAAAAAAGTAAGTGAAACGCGACGCGACAAAGAAAGAGAGAGGAAGAGAGAAAGAGAGAGATAGAGAACGAGAGTAACGACGATTATGATGATTATAATAATTACAATGACGATGACGACGACGATGAGCGACAATGAATAATGATTGCTGATTATATCGGGCGTGTAACTATTATACTATTAGCATGACAATTCTTGCGACTGGTCCCTAAATAATCCCTCTTTACTCTTACGTTTGTCGCTTAGGTTAAAGATAATGCCGCCGACGATGTCGGCGATGTCGATTTGTACATAGGTATATTGATAATAATAATGTACGACAACGTACGTATGTATCGTGGACGACGACTGTATCTGTAAATCGCGGATTAGGCAGACCGAATGCAAGCGAACAAGAGAGAGAGAGAGAGAGCGAACGAGCGAGCAAGAGACACACACCATTTTCACCCGTGTTTTCAATACGATCATCGTGCATCGTCAGGCCTCCATTCTCGGTGTTGTCTTGCTTCTTCAACGCGCGAGTTTAACGCGACTCGAAGTCACCCCCCTCCCCCGATTCTCATTTTCTCCGATACCCCCACGCATCGTTGTTCGCACCTCGGGAGCTTGAGGCTCGTCCGGCACCCGGATCATATCGCGTCTTCCAAATCGTCGCAGGCGATCGCTCGTAGCCTATTTACCGACCTGGTGGATGGCGTCCGCGAGTAGCGCGAAGGACGAGTGAATTTGCAGACAAGTCAGTTCGATATCTCACGGTGATATCCGGAAGAACGATAACAGAGCGGCCGCACACACGTACAAATACACACACACACGTACACACATACACGTTACATGCGTCGATGACACGCGTTCCTCCGTCTCCTTGTCTATCGCGTGGCGCGTCACATCTTCCCGTCTGTTCACTCCAAATCCTCGTCGGACGAGTGAACAAGTGGCATCTTGCCCTTCGCCGACGACCACCTTCCCTCTTCGCAGTATCTGTCATCGTCTCCGTTTGGACGAGCCGACGCTGCTCGCTCGCCAACGAGTTCTCCTCCTCGGCGGGGCGATCCGCGCTAACGATCACAACCGCACCCGTACCAGTCAGAAGCACGCACGATCTCGCACTCGGGGGCTCTGGTTGCGCGGCTCTCCGCGGTCCTAAGTACGCGCACCACACGCAAACATACACACATACATACATAACTCTTTCTACGACGGTTATTTCACCGTGGAGAAAGACAGGCAGCATCAGGGTATGCACGGTCGCTGCAGGAGAAGTCACATTCTCAGATCCGTATTAATAGTTGTTATTTGAAACTTCTCGCAAATGAGATAATCTCATCAACTCAGATGTGAATTCAGAGTTAGAGCTTTTCAGTTGAATAACGTTTGCGAATATGGTATCGAATATATCATACGATTCGACTGAAAAGTTCTAACTGTGAATTCGAATTTTGGTGCCTCACATGAGACAAGTTTCAAATGGCAGCTATTAATGCGGACCTCAATCTTCTTCTCATTGGCAGGTGTCCCTCATATGACATATGAAATATTTTAATGGAGGTTTCATCTGTCAATTGAGACAAAGGATGGTTTACCAGCGCCCTTTTTCTGTAACTCTTAACTTATTCGTTACAGGCATAACGCATACGTTACAAATCTTTGCGCAGGTAAAAATGTTACGATCACAAAATAGCTACGCAACGATGCGCGTTGACGATGACAATTTTTTTTTTCATTTTAACGATAACGATAAAAATTTTCACTACAAATTACAGAATAAGGGGACAGTTCGGTTTAAAGGGACTCTATTATTATAATTTTGACCATTTCCTTTCAGAACGTTCCGTGGAGATGTTGACATGTCTGCGGTGCCATCATACACACATACGCATACACACACACACCTCTGTAAATGTTGTCTGTCAGCGGCGTTTGCCTTCGCTACTCGCATCGCGCTGCGACGATTGTTACACGCGGAGGAAGACGCGCGGCGCCGGGGTAACGCTCAGAGTGAGATCATAACACACTCAGGGTACGCTCGATCGCTGCGACAGAAGTGCGACTCTTGATCTTCTTCTCGTTGGGTGGTAGTTCCATTCATCGACATATGAATATCTAAATGGAGAATTCATTGAAGTTCCTAAGGAAGAACCAGGAACAAAGGACAAAGTGGCATTACTGCTAACATTTAACCACCCTCTCGGAGTATATTCCGTGAAGATATTCATACGTCTTTGGCCTTACCACCCTCCGTCGGCGCATCGCCGGGGGATGATTCTCTCGTAAGCGTGAAACGAGCGAGCGAGCGAAGGAGGAGCGCCGCTATCTGAGAGATGCCCGCACGGAAGGAGTGCCGTTCTCGTGGTCTTCGTCTCTCACCGCGTTGTTGATGTACCTTGACATTTTTTTACTCGACGTCCGTGCACGACGACGAGGACGAGACGGCTCTCTCCCGCCGGTGCGGCGACACGACAGCAAACTTAATTTTAAGATTCTAGAGCACACGGGGAATACACACACACACACCGGTGAACACGCGAGACGCTTGACGGCACGATTGTACGACGATGTGTATGAGCCGACGTGGTGGACGCCGCCCATCGACTCGCCGACGGCTGTTTGAACGATATCCGGACGATGATACGTGCCGTGGATTAATGCCGGGTCTTCGACGCTCGAGGAGCGAGCATCGAGTCTTGATACGCATTAGCGTACGCGCGTCCTCGAAGCGAGAGGTATTTCCCTCAAGTATACTTACGGCTACCCATTGAAGCGACACTATTTTGTATGAATTGTTGCCTCGGAAGCGCGAGTCACGGTCCGAGCGATGAGATAGAACAAATAGCATTAGAGTGTTGTACATATTATTATTAATGATTAATATTATTATTGTGTATCGATTAATAGGTGAAGCGATTAATCGATTACCATGTTATACATTATGATTTTGTTTTTGTACGATAGGAGGGAGGGTCACATGTGCATGTGTGCGATCGGTCGATATTCGTTAATGAACGACGACGACGACGACGAAAGCGAAAAAATCAATCACTAGTCGGTCTCGTGACCATCCGCGAGCGTGTCATGGTGCACTTGCGCTTTAAATTCATTTTCAACTTTCATCCGAAGCGGTCTGCCGCGAATGGACGAATCGAGAGGAGAGTGTGAAGGGGGGAACACAGAAATCGGACTTTCACACCGTTACGATTACTTTTTGAGTTCGGTCGATTGCGACGGGAAGATTCTTCGCAGTCTCGTTTCTATCGGTGTTTCGATCGCTTTCCGATAAACTTTCATCTGCTCAAATTTCTCGCATTTCCCTGCTCCGTTTCCAAACAATATCGGAGATCTGTTTTTAAGACGCGGCAAAATCATTAAGTCTGATTATTTTAAAATTATACTACTTTCATACTATCTACATATTGTATCGAATCTAAGCGCGTTGTTTGTCTCTTACGATTGTTCTGTGAAAAACAATTTCAGTCGAGAACTTGAACTAAATATTTATATAGACCAAGAGAAATTGAAATTTTAATTTGTTGTTTCTCCGCTCTTACTGTTTCCGCAAGACAACTTGTGATTAAAGTTTTATGACTGGCATTTTCCATTTTTATTCATCGACGTCTAAATTTACACAAATACATACTTCTTTCTTCTTTTTTATCTTTTCATTCATTCTTCTGTATTTTTTTTTTTTTTTCTTTCCTTTTCCTATGTGTAAGTGACCGCTTGTGATTTGGTATAATTGAAAATACAAAGTGTATAATTGACGCAGAGACCTTACATGTGATTTTTGTGCGTAAACCGTAAAGTGATCGTCGCACGATGCAGTTTCTACGATTTTCCGTAGGAAGAAATGTTTCCGGCAATGAAAACACGAGTAAGATTTGTACTTTCCACAAAGCTGAGGAGGATCGAGATTTCCCTCACTGCATCGATCGATCGCATAAAACGATCGCAAAAAGGGGGACAGTTAAGCTAGCTTTTAATAACGCGAGACCCGCGAGACGACGTTCGATTCGTTTTCGCGTAAAAGTCGCGAAAAGTTTCTCCGGCAAAATTCGCGTGGCCGTTGCGAAGATTATTTTCCGTGAACTGCCTGCCCACCTGCCCTTGCAAACTACGTTGCCTCGACAAACGTGTCTAATTTATTGACAATTCCATACTTAGCAGGACGTTTTAATCTGCCTTTCATTTGACTAGCTAATATTAGGATAGTAATCTAAAAAAAGAAGATATGTGCGAGCGAAACGAATGTGTGTGTGTGTGTGCATGATCGACTGTGCGTGTGCGTGCGCGCGTGTATTTGTGTACGTGTGGTATGCATGCGCGATCAAAGTCGGACACCAAAATCTGGTTAATCGAGGGTGGTACTTTCCTTCCGCTTCTATTTTGCGCGCGGATTTTTATTGTTTGATCTTATATTTTATCCATGTGTTACCGAGACGACCTGCCGGCGAATAATAAAATGTGACGTGAAATGTGAGAATGTGAAAAAGAAAAAAAGAAAAAAAACACGAGATATATCTGTTATATTTCCTCAGTCGATGTGCGTGGTAGCATTATTATACGTGATTAAATGCAGTGACGAGAGGAGTGACGTGCGGAATTCGTTGTCGGCTGTCAAGATAAAATCAGATTAATCGTTCAAATGATTCTCGCAATATGTTCTCTTTTCCTTTGCGTTTTGTTAAGCCTGGGCTATTGTAACGAGCGATCTCACTTCTATTTTAAGTGTATGCTTACAGCGTTTAGCGCGTTACTATGTGGTGGACGCGCTAAGTTCCGCGAAGAGAGAAAGAGAGAGAGAGAACGTCCCGGAACTCGAAAAGTAGGTTATCAGATCGGTGTGTAATTATTTTATGTGCGTGAATACCCGCGCATATATAAAGTAATTATTTTCGCGGGCGAAGTCCGTTCCGTCAGTCGTTTGAACAGAAAATTTTATCGCCCGAGCAGTCTCCCTGTATTCATTTTGGGGTTGTAACTTTACCTTCTTTCTCGCAGGCCACTGTGCCTACTCGTATTTCGGGATCACGATTTCTCGGGATTTTGCGTGTCCGCCGTTATCGGAACCGAGAAACACTTGAAAAATGTATGCCTTAATGTTAACGATAATATTAAATGCATTATTACACAATTAGCTGACGGGAAGGGGAGGAGAAGACTTTGCGGAATGGCAGTGAGAGGAGAAGAAAGAACGAGAGGTTGAGAAATGAATAACTGAGTGAGTGAGTGAGTGAACGAGTGAACGAGCGAGTGATATGCGGGAATGCATACCGTAGACGAACGCAAAACGGAAGCCAACACACAAAATGCCGAATGCGCGATAGTTTCATTCTGTTCGCAATTTGATAGATTCCTTTTTTACGATTCCGACGACGAGAGAGATAGAAGGGTGTGCAAGTGAAGTGTGTACAATAGCGGACTGCTATCTAAAATAGTTCAGGCTAGATGTCGATGTTTGTAGCGGATAAAACACAAAAAAACATCACATATTGTAATTAAAATTTAAAAAAAACCATTAACATCGCCGGCCTTTTTACTCCCACGACGATCTCTGCGATCTGGAAGTCGACGTTTTGTCAATGTCTGCGACATGCCTCGTGTCACGGAGGATGCATCGCGTTCCTCGCTTTGTCGGTCGATCAATCGGCAACGACGTAGCATTCTCATTCGCCGGGGTAAAAAAATACTGATTCCGAAACGTTGATAATTTCACCGTCTGCAGGACGGATTTTTTTCTCGCGTGTCGGCCGCGTTTCACGAGGAGCGGAGTGCGCACGAAAGCAGCTCCTCGCAGAGCTTCCGACGACTAACGAGTCGGGCCACCGGGATTTTTCGTGTTTGCCGAGACGTTCTCCGAAACTTTGTGCTTTTTCCCCGCCACGGGTACGTCGCAGTCTCTATAAAGCACATCGCAGTCCTCGCCTCGAATTCCCGCTGCGCCCGCATCCCTCACGAGACGGTCCCAGCCTGAGGACGACTTCAGCGACTTCTCTATTCCGGTTCTGCGGAAGAGAACGCATCGTAAACTACATATGAAAAGAATTTATCGTTAAATTAATTATTATTCGATTTAGCGCGAGGCACACCGAAATTACGCGAACTCGACGCGCGACGAAGCTCGCGCGCGTCGTATTTTTCCGTTTAGACGCGAAACTGCGCTCTCAGCCGTTGCTCCTTCAATCTATCCGCGATTAAACGATTAACCGGCAACGTCAAACAGGGGTTCGTGACGTGTACTCTTCGGAAGATAAGATGTAACAACGGAACTTACGTCAGGTACCTCGCCAACATTTTGCCGGGCGCGCCCAAGTCTCTGAAGAGTTTGCGATTCTCGAGACAGATCGTCCTTTGTATGCACCGTACTCTCGCATCGTTATTAAGAATCTCTTCCTCCTCCGGGGTCTAAAAGTTCGTGGAAAGTCTTAATCTACCCGCCGGCACGCGAAAACTTTCGCCGCGCGCGAGAACTCCGGAATTCATGATTTATCCTGGCAATTTTGTTCCCAGCCAACAAGAACAAAGGGCTTCATTAAAGCGGTTGAATTCCCGAGTCCACGGGGGCGGGTTTGACCGGCCGTGTATTCTCGCGATCGAGTCCCCCCACGGAAGACTGGAAATTTGTCATCCCGCGGATTTATTTTCTCGACTATCTCGGGCGGAACTTCGCGCTGGGATTTCTTTTTTTTTTCGGCCACATTGTTAGTCGGAACGTTCCACTCGTGTACTTGTGTAATATTGTCCGATTATATTACTAAGTTATAACATAAGAGCAAACAACACGGAGAGGAAGGTTTCTTTAAATTTAGTGCACGTGTTTATTTGACTTGGGTTTGATATAAACAACATAATTTAATATCAAATATCACTTTGTTTGAATGAAAATGTTGTTTTACTAGAGTGAACCATGTAGTTTGATTAAAGAAACAGTATTATTATATTACAATATTGATTTTCAATAAAAAAGATTCAGTTTATTGTATATTAAATATTGTTCCACTGATATACAAAAAAAGTTATTTAACATTCATAGTTCTTTAATATTCTTTAATAACATAGTGTTACTTCTTTCAAATAATTTATTGTTTGTGAAAAATATTGTTTGGATGAAAATACAAAATATATGTGTTGGCTGACGAAAAGATATTTGAGAAACCAAACAATGTTGTTTGTTTGTTCCACTGTAAAAGACAAATTTGTTACAACTAAAGAAATTTTATTATTAAATCCAAAGAAATCTTTCCCTCCGTGAACGACTGCGTTGACTCTTATTGGCTCAACTTTCATTATCATTGTCATTAGTTTCTAATTGAAGAGCCTTACATTCCTTACTGAAGTTCTTTTTTTTTCTTTTCTTCCCGCACGGAAAACAATGCCGTTGAATCAAGAAAATTTCCAACAGTAACGTAATTGGAGTGAATCTTCTTGATTAATCGCAAATATTATTAAAACTGCTATGTTATGCATTGTTTCAATAATCGAAGTATTAATTTCAACGTCGTCGTTATTGAATCAAGAGGATTTATTCCAATTACGCGTGCCGTTGGAATTCTATCGATTCAACGATATTTTTTCTCCCATCGTGCGCGGTCGGGGAAATTCCCGACGAGGGAGAATCCTGCCTCTGAGAAAGAGCCAAATTGGAGGAGGGTTCACGTACCACGGAACCGAAATCGCGGGTTGCGTAGACGTCCCGTTTTTGCCTGGACGCTAATAAATCCATTATCGCGTCTTTCCGCTTAACGGAGCTCAGCGTGTTCTGTATAATCGCCAACAGCAATAACAGCCCGATGAAACTGACTATCACGAGCTGTTTCGACGACGGTACGATGGAATGCTCCACCGACTGCGCCACCGGATACCCCATATTAGGGTACTCATACACGTACGGTACATTTTCGCTCCTGTGATGCAAAAACGCTCTTTGAGGCGCTGAAACTGTTTTGGGAAAACGTCAATGGTACGTATATATATGAAAAAATAATAAAGAGAGAGAGAGAGAGATAGCTGAAATTGCGATTGTATCCGCGTAATTAAACCGAAGAGCAAGCTTGCCGTTCGTTTATTATTCGGAAAAAAGCGAGCACGAGCGAATTTCGCACCTCGCATGCGCGTCACATATTTTCTTTTCTCTCTCTCTCTCTCTCTCTTCCCCTCACGGCTTTCCTCTTCATCTCTGCGCGCGCGCGCGACGACGTTTTAATAAACGAGTACGACATACGACCGACATACTTCAATTTCAAAATGATCTCTCTCGGCTTTGTGGGTTTAATGCGACGATCCAGGTGTTAGTCACTCGATTATAGCCGCGCACAAAGGATAAGTGATCAAACGACACGCCGTCTTAGCGTAACTAAAATAGAAAAATCTTTACCGGGGAAAAAGTAATCCGAGGGCAACATCGGCTGCGGCGGTTGCGGCGGCAGGAGGTTCCCAGAGAACATCCCGCGCGTCATATCCGGCTGAGGCACCGACTCGATCTTACTCCCCACTGTCTCCGCCGAGGACGAGCCATTTCCGTTGGACGGGAACATCATCACGCTATTCGCATCCTGGCCGGCGACTAAGACCGCGAACGTGCCGAGCAGCGGAAGTGCTTTCATTTTCCGCGGGAAAATTGCCCCTTTCTGCGCGCTTTTCCACCACGAAACTGCACAGTAAAAAATTTTACGTTCAATTGAACACATTTCACGTACGTCCCAAACGACCACTCAAATTCTTCCATTGACTTAACACGATGCGAATATGTTACGAAGTAATATAATAGTAGGTCAAAAATTGACAGGTGGCAACTGTTTTACCGGGGAAAAGTAACTCTAAAGCTACGTAATCTTTATACTGAAAAAACATCTGTTATATCTACAAAATCGGCGATCATTCCCGTTCGAAAAAGTGTTACGTCCACTGAACAAATTACGCGTTGGCGCAACCATTGTAATATTCGGATGAAAATACAAAAGAAATATATTATTTAACGTAAGGATATTTATCGTTCGAAAAACCGAACAATCCCGTTCGTTGAATCGAACATTCATTCGTTCCTTCCGAAGAAACAAATATGTTTCAACTAATGACATTTTATTTAAACCCAAAGAAACCCTTTTCTCTGTGCATATAAATTGTGTTACTTCAACACGGACGAATGTTGAATATCAATTCTACGCAAAATCTTGAAATGACACAGTCGCAATACGATCAGATCAACACACGGCTGTGTCGGGAATTCGACGCGAAACTTTTAACGAGGACCGATGTTTACAGGAATGCAAAATATTTTTTACTGTGCACGAGCCAGCTATTGCCGTTTACGATCGACCGGCTCCCTCGGTAGGCTCTCCCACTCTCGATCAAACTTTTATCCGGCGTCTTCCACCGCGGGAAATGACTCTCGGGGAAACCACCACTGTCGATCGTGACGCGCGACTAACGCGGAGCAGACGCGACGTCGTGAACTTAAACGCGGCGACGAATCGGTCGCGAACGCGAAAGACGTTTTCCCCTGCGTGTCGCGTCGAATTCGACACGGGCGAGGCGACCGGAAGATCGCCTGGCTAGGAACAATTTCGAAAATGAGAGGCAGCGATCATTCGGCCCGCTGGATTGCCTGACGAGGTCACGGGCCGCGACCGCCGCAACGAGCCGACGCGGCCCGTTCCATTGTGCGGGAACGCAGAAATATTACCATTTTCTTCCTCGCCGAAGAAATAGCCCAATTGCCGGGGTATACGCCGAGTATACTCTCGAATTGTTCGCAGGGACGCACCCTGGCTTCTCGAGGGATAACGAGTTAATAATTTCCTGCCCAGCAGAAGCTGGAGACGCTTTCCGACTGAAAAATTCTCCGCTCTCTCCGTGATATACGTCTCGAACATGTTGTGATTAATATTTCCTTCCTCCACAGCTCTATCTCTCTCTCTCTCTCTCTCTCTACCCTTTTCTCTTTTTTCCGTCTCGACAGCCGACGGTACACGTCCAAGTTTTATCGCTCACCGCGTAGATTCGCTCCTGAACTCCCCCTAACTCGGCGGGAAGAACGCGAGACCGCGAGATTATCGAGACTATTTTCTTTTTCGCTTTTATCGTAACATTCCCGCAATCCTCCCAGAGTCAAGTTTCATTTGAATAACCGAGCTCTCGGGAGAACCGGGAAACCCGAGCGTTGATCAACGACACAATTAGCGGCGATCGCGAGGAATTTCCTGATGAAATACCAAGAGAAAAAAGGTGTTTTGACCTGGTTCGCGAGGTAGCCGATGGCACTTTTGCGCCGATTTACCGTCGAATTCGTCGAGATCGTCCCGGTCCGAGATAGGAAAGGGGGCCGAAAGAGTAAAGCTATGTTCGTGCGGGTATTTCAGCAGCGAGAAGAGCGAGACGACACGATGGGCAGAGATCGGTCGGTTGGTTAGTCTGGCTGCTGAATGCAAGGGGTTGCTATGGCGATGGAACGGAGGTGGGGAAAGGGAGCTTGGAGGGTTCGTCTGTCTGCAGCCCTTCTAAAGGGGATGTCGTTCTTCGTGCCGTCTGGAGCTCCCTCACTTGCACCGACACTCGTCAAATGTTGGTTCGCGACTTCGTCGGCCACTTTAAGATGGTCGGTGCCGCAGAGTGCCGGATTTTCAGTGACGATATTAAGAGGCTCTTCATAAGTTTATTATTCACTGGAAAAGGGCTTTTCTATCATTATTTTTAACTACCCAAGTAATAAACATATTTAACTACCCAAGTAATAAATGTCAATTTTAAGCGAAATTATGACAGACATGTACACAATATTATGGACAAGGGGATATTATTTATTTTGTATTTTTCTTATTATTGTTTTATTTATATAATCAGTTGAGTTAATAGAGGTATATACATAACATAGAAAGTAGCACATAAATATTTACAAAATATATACAAAAATATATACAAAAGATATACGTTACTCGATCTAAAGATATTTATTGTTTGAGAAACCAAACAATCCTGCTTATTGAATAAAACACTCATTTGTTCGCTCCATTCCAAAAGGCAAATTTGTTTCAATTGAAGAAATTTAATTAAATCCAAAGGAACCTTTTTCCGTGTATAATGTCTCTATATTAGTCCTTGATGTCACAGTATTTTTTCATAAAAATCCCAAGCGTGGTTAAAAAGAGATTAAAAATAGAAGTTAAAAATAGGATATTAACTTCAAAGAACGTATAAAAAGTGTCATCTTTAGTTACGAATATCTCAGACTTCCGAACGGCCAATTATTTTCTAACTTTCCAAGCATGTGGACAATATTTTCATCAATAAGTAGCTAAAATTTGAAAGCGCTCCTAAGAAAATGAAAACTGACAGATAACTATTTTAAATATTGATATGCGAGCACCGCGCTTGACTAGGCTCTCGCGATACTCGTAGGTGCGCATCTAACGTCGTGCCGTGCGAGGAACGATCCGTTCGGGGATAAAATTGAATCGCCTTTCGGTCACGTGGGATGATCGCGAACGCCCTGAAATTGTCCTCACACGCTCCTCGACGAGACGACGAATCGACTGGGCAAATTAAAGTCACAGCGCTATTTAAACGCGCGATGCGTAGCAATATTCGCGACGCGTCTGTTCTCTCGCTTTGATTTCCCTTTAATTTCCAATCGAAGCGCGTTTTTTTCATAGGTGTCATTGAGAGCGACGCAAATCGCGATTCCAATTCAGTCCCTCCAGCCCTAGAAGTGACTCTGCGGACGAACGTTTACGACGGTCTCGGCGCGCGTTCCCATTATCTCTCTCGCAGCTGAGTTAATTCCACGGAACTGATAATCCACAAGGGGAAACACTTGGCGCTTTAGGTGTCACATCATCATCCACCCACTCGCACTTCTCGCGTTGTCGCCTGTGCGCGAACCACCCCGGTACTTTATTCATTATTTACATCTACAAAAGACTCTCACGTCTTGTTGCTAACTTATCAGAGAAGCCTAGTTTTTTTCTTTCTCTCCCTCCCGCTCTCTCTCTCTCTCTCTCCCTCCCTGAGTAGAACGGTGTATCTACTCTCGTCTCGTCGAACGTCTCGCGCCACGCTTGTCGTCTCTTTACCGCGAACAACAAAAGGCGATGCGCTCTTTTTTTTTTCAGAGTCGACGAACATCGCGACTACATATCGGGGTCATATCGATGGACACGCCGCGTGAACGAGCCGCGATTTTACGCCAACGCGACGCGAGCGAACGTGATATTTTTAGCTCGCTTTTGTACCGTCGGCTGACACTTGCTGCTTTTTTATCAACGTGCAGTAGCGAGCGTGCTCTCCTCAGTGCGGCAATCAGAGGTTCGTCACGCTCCATTATCCGCACCGGAGCGACGTCCGCCGCCGATTTTATACGTTAAACACGGTTTTTTTCACCGCTGCATCTCGCCGCGCACCTCGACGAAGGGTTGTTGTAACGAGATCGCTCTCTTTCTCTTTCTCCTCCCCCCCCCTCTCTCTCTCTCTTTCTCTTTCTCACATATACACACACACACGTATATACTATCTCTGTCACTGATGCACGGTCGATTAATTATAAAAAATGACAAGCGATAAGGTAAATGAAAGTAGGACGTGTGGGACCTTATTGATTGCGCCTCACTTATTTACTTTTGTTCAACGAACCGGGAGTCTGGATAATAACTGGAAAATCCATGGTTCGTGGAAGATGGAAACGGTTCTGAAAAAGGTTTTAACGTCCCTCGATAGGATGCGGAAGTTTGTGACTCGACTTCGTGATGAGCCCTCCCGGATGGGATTGTGCATCGTATGTCTGACCGCGTACGGATTTTACTACTGCTGAAACATGGGCAGTCGTTACGACTCTCACGACGAAGAACGATGTTCTCCAAAAGGAGAATGAGAAAGAGAGAGAACAAGAAAACCGAAATGTGATTTTAGCCGTGATTGTAGACTTCGTCAACAATTAATAACGTCGATTTTCTAGATTGAAACGTAAATTTAACATATTCAAATTTTACTATAACCGAATTTGAATCTCTGTACAGAGAGAAAGTGTTTGATATCTAAGACCCTTTTGTATAATTGCACGGTGAAATAATTATAATCGTGACCATATTTGTAGTAAACTACAATTTTTCTAACCATTTCTTTAGTAAACGCTACCATATTATCGTTTAATCATCTAATAATTTTATAATTAATTCATTATTAAATGATAATTAATTATTATATAATTACTCAATTTCATAATTTTAATTAATCTATAATTTATCGTTTTATAACTTTTAGCTATATTTCTAATAAACGCTACGCAGAAAAAAGTGCTAGATTCAAGTAAATAATTACTGCAATTCTCCTTAGCAAATTTTTAGTTAGATTAAGTAAATTTTATTTTGATCGTTTACTAGGAAAACATCTTACTTGGATCGAACCTTTTTTTTTATTGTAACAACAAGGAGATACGGTTGACGTCGAAAATGAGTGCAACTCGCAGTTAGGTTAACAGTTTCTTCTTTCAGTGCGGATTGAGTTTGCACACGTGCGGAACGCAGGGTTGAATTCTTCGCCACTGCCGGTGTCGCTCTACCGTAACTCTCTCATTTCCCCATCCATTCGGACATAGAATCCGTACGAAGAAGCGTGAATCTACGAAACTGGTATTATTCTGATCGAATAACATTTCGCTCGCGCATTAGGGCCGACATGGCGGCACACGAAATTTTCCAGGCTCTCGAATGACGGATAGCTCCCCAGCTTCGGCATTAATGAAATGTACGCATCCTGAAATCAGCCGTCCGCGGCTCAGGAGAACAGGATATCGTCAAGGATCTGTCCGGGTCAGGTGACTCGGAAAATCCCTTAAAGCTGAGAGATCTCGGCGGTTCCTCCGCTCCTCTCCTCTGCTCAGCGTCTCCTCACCGTCGAATCTATTTCCTTAAGTCCGGAGGAAACCCCTCGTAATTTTTATCCCACCGTCTACCGAGTAACCCCCCGTACTTTCACCGAGCGTTTTTTCGAACTAATGTGTCCTTCGCACGCGATTCTGCGGCATAACAGCCGATCCTTTTGACGGAATTTAATATACGGAATATCCCGCGTATTTTAACACGATGACATATATATCGGCGCGCACGAAACCCTGAAACGCTCGAGCTATGGCTGGATGACGCTCGCGAATTAATGAAATGTACATAAATGACCTGAATAACTTGATAACGTTTTCCGAGAAACGCGCATATTTATAGATCACATGCATATATATATATATATATATATATATATATATATATATATACACATATNATATATATATATATATATATATATATATATATATATGTACACATTCGCGCGAAAATCTTGGAGGAAGAGCAGGCGGCCATTCGGGCTGCATAAATCTTCGTTAGCCTCATCTTCCATCGCCCGGGTCGTACGCAAGGAACGATAATTAATTAACCGAGTCGGTCGTGATTAAAATGTGGGCTCGTGGCTAACGCGGTGGTGGACGCGAGATTCCCTCGGACGTATCTCTCTCTCTCTCTCTCTCCCTTTCTCGCCGAGGCGTAGGCGGTTAGATACACAATTGATTACACGGCGACGTTCAAACGTAGCATTTACTAATCACAGTTCTATTTTGCGACGCGAGCGAAAATAACTTTCCCCGTCCGAGAGGCGCTTTTAAATCCAAGAGGAAATCAATATGCGCGCCGGCAGCTGCAACTCCTCTCGCGTGCCCGAAGATTCATCTTTTAATAAATGCTCGTCTTTCAGCTCCACTCGCCTTCCTTCTCTCTTCGTCCTCTTCATCGACGGTCATGAGCGCAACTTCATAATGAATCCTCGCGCTATTGATCGCCATTAAATCGAGAAAGACACCGCTTTCCCCATAGGGAAGCGTCAACCTAATTTCCGTGCAACTACCCTTTTCGTGCGTCTCGCCAAAGGCGTAATTATCGTCGCAACGTCATCGTCAAATGCAACGATCGAGTGAGGACGACCGACCGGCCGACCGGTGTTCCCTTATGATTCCTCGTTCACCCGCCATCGATCGCTCGATTCAATCCCGTCGCATTTGTACTTCTTCATCGATTCGTTATTTAACGCCGTCGCCAGGTCCGTCGCGGTCGTCGCGAAAACGCGCCGTAGAACCCGCTTCGCGATGTTACGCGTGGCTTATCACCGTGACGAATGGTATCGGAGCAGCGGGGAGAGCCTCCGCGACCTTCCCCAACGGCCTCAGACGTCCACGAGCTCGACATACAATGCGACATTATTACGCGCATCCTCGTGCAAAGCGGAACGGAACGCCTGTCGTCGCGTGCACACACGAGGTCGGAGTGTCCATGCGAAAGAGAGAAAGAGAAAGGATAGCGAGAGAGAGAGAGAGAAAGAGAGAGAGTGGTGTGTCCTCAGTGCACATGTGCGCGTTTCCACCTGCCTGGCCCGCGCCGCCACCCATATCATCGCCCTTCGAAGCTGCACCACACTGACCTTGTTCCAGCTACCAAGAAAAGCAGGTTACGTGAAATTTTTACCCCTCCCGAACCTTTCGGCCGGAGCTCATCGGGGTTCGACCTGCATCACACCGACTACTCCTAAGATGTACCGTTCGGTCTTCTTCCTTATCTAATGTACGTGTAATAAAATTTATACGCGACTCGACCGCCGGTGGTTGAAGTAAAACAACAAAGGGTCTCTCTCTCTTTCTCTCTCTCTCTCTCTTTCTTTCTCGTTCCGCTTGTACGTACGCGATGCAAAGGGGGACACGTCGCGCGGGGACCAGCCAGCAGGGCTCGTTTTTCAACATCCGAGATGCATCCGAGAGGTTGAAGCTACCGACGTTCTCGCGGCGACGTATCGGCGACGGAGCGGCGAATTTTTGCACGCGCACGTGAATTCCAATATAAGCGGTCTTTATCGAGCGCTGCTTTTTCAGGCGCTTAATACATTTTTGACGGGAAAACCGCTGAAACGGCCGCGAACGGAGCTTCCGCACATGGTTAAATCCGGTTTCCGATTTTTCGGTCACCCCGCCCGATGCAATTACATTCGCGGCGCGCGAATTCAAAGGAATCACGCTGACGACATTATGCACTCGGGAAAATGTAAATAATGGACTATTATCAACGCATCGCTATCGAGGTCGCCCGTCACAGGAAGTTCGCCGCATTTTATCGAATGTCACACGCCCGACAATGTGTGACACGGTTCTTATCTTATGATATTTATGTTCCATAGTTCTTACGTATTATATTTAGATATAATTATCGTTCAATATATTATCTCCCTATTTAGGAATTATTTCCGTCCTTCTTATTAGTCGTTTCTCTTTATTCTATATTTTTGTAACGGCGCACTGAGACGAAAATATTCCGAAATTTTATCTGCGGAATATAAACTTTATTTCACAGAAGTAAAGTTCCTGCGAAATGAACCTTATTCCCGTGAAATCAACTTCACGTCCTGCAAATAAATTTTCAAGTACTTCTTTTCTCAGTGTAAAATTATAATTACTTGGAATCGCTATCTCACGGAGGAAAATAATTTGCTGTCGCAGCAAATTTTATACCGTCGCGACAAAATCCGTCAGTTACTATGTGGACAGCAAAACGATTTGTTAAAAGTACCAATTGCCATTTGCTGGATCGTTTTGCTGAAGCTACTAGTTATTCTGCTATAAGAAAAAATCGGTAAATGTAGGGAAGCATCATTTTGTTCTAACAGCAAACTGCTTCTACTCTTATTACGAATAATTCGCTAATTTGTTTGTGCAAACAAAATTTTATTGCCGTCGCGACGAATATTAGCGGTAGCGACGATAATCTCGCTGTAACAGCGAAATTATTTTTCTCCGTTCCTGGTGTTTGATCTTCGTTCTTATTGTTATCATTAATTTCGCAATAATAATCCGTAGAGGAAAATGTAAGCTGACAACGAGTCCTGTGCGGTACATCTCGATAATCACTTCTTCGAATCCTCCCTCCAATTTATCCAGGTGGCTCAGACACTTCGTCGAAATACTCCGCGTTCGATAAAATACCAACGAGTCATCGTAAACCGAGCTTCAATACCGAACCTTCTACGATCGTGCATACGCGTATATATTGATCCTTTCACGTGGCCACGTTGCGCACATTTCGCGCCGTAGGCGCGCCGAATCTCGGACGAGTCGAAGATCCCGCGGAGGCCGCGATTGGGTCGCGCAAAATTCGCTCGTTCCCAGAGGATATCTCGCGCGCGCGGACTCGGGCGCACCCTCGCAGCTTGCAGCTCGGGCGATTAACGTTTATCCCCGCGTCGTCTCGGCGGGGATATTCATCTCGTTTTGCGGCTTACATGAGCGAGTTTCAATATTTACCCGCGGGCCAGGTCGCGCTTATTTACACGTGCCGCGCGCGCGCGGGTGTCCCACTTTCATTCATTTTCTCGGGCGTCCTTTTCCGCGGAAAATCTCGACCTACGTTCACGAGCCGATGAGCCCCTCCTGAAAAGTATCTCCCGACCGTCGTTTCCCCGGCTCGCTCGAAAGAGGTAGAGAAAGGGAGAAAGGGAGAACACAAGTCCCGCGACCTCTCCCTACGGGAACCCCCGGTTACGGCGGACAAAAGTTCAGCCGTCATACACAGTCATACCCGCCACCTACACAGCACACGAGCCCTTCCTTCCAGCCCTTCTCGCGTCCGCCACACCACCTTCTCTCTGGTTCTCCGCGTCCTTCCGTACTTCTCGCTCTCTCTCTCTCTCTCTCTTTCCTCGTCCCCCGCGCCCTTTCCGTCTCTCACCTTCGCAACGACGCAACCCCCTACGCTATCCCTCGTCCACCCTTTGCGCGCACCCTTCCACACTCTGCCTCTCGCTCTCGCTACGCTCGTCTCTCTCCTTCCCTCCCTTCCTCCGGCGCTCTCCGTCCGCTTCCACCCCCGACGATCGACGTTCCGCGTTTATCGAACCATTGCGCGCGCACCGATAACAGTAACGGGGCGTGCTACGTCTTGGTTGGCCGTAGACGTAGGTGGTGGACGCACGGCCGACCGACGAAGACGACGGCGGCGACGTCGACGTCGCCGAGGACGAGCGCAGCAGACTGCCAGCGAAGCTCGCCGCGCGACGGAGAGGAATAGTTCGTCTGTCGTGCGAGAGGTAGAGAGTGGCCAGCCGTAGTCACTACCTTCTTGAGGGAGCGTGCACGTTGTGTTTGTTTTCGACGTTCGCTGAGGGTCCGCTGCCGCGAGAAGCTGCTCACCACCTACGCGCGTCATTCGGGAAGAAGCTACGAGTGCAGCTTCGGGGCGAACTCGAGGCCGCGGCGAAGCGCGCGCGGTATCGAGAGCCGAGAGGAAGATCTAGAAGATCTACGGGGGCTAAGAAGAAGAAGGAGGAGGAGGGACATAGTGGAGAGACTACGCGGAGACGTTAGCATTTGGGGGAGGTTTCGAAGGTGTAGCGCGCCCGACTAACGGGCCGTTCGAATAAGGCCCATTCGCGGAACGCGCGCATCAACGAGCGCGCGCAAGCGTAGGGATAGGAGAGAACAAGAGAGGAGCGACACATGGCGACACGTAGAAACACGAGCGTGATATAAGTGAGAAATAGAGAGAGAGAGGAAGAGAGGGACGAGGACCAGTAGTGTGTTATTTTCCAGAGCCTTTATCCTGGCGGTAGTAGGCGTGCCTGCAAAAGAAAACCTATTGGTGACCTTTTGAGGAAAACACCGATTCGACGCGCTTTTCCGGCCGCGTGTTGGAGAAAGTGAGGGAACAGTGCTTCGACAGTGCGGCTCGATAGTGCGAAAGAATGAATGCTTCACTCAGGGTGAAGCGGTCGTGAGAGAGAAAGAGGGGGAGAGAGGGAGGGAGAGATAGAGATAAAAAGAGAGAGAAAGAGAGAGAGAGAGGAAGAGGAAAAAAAACGAATCGTACAGATCACGCGGAGGATCAAGGCATCGAGTAGGGGTGGCTCTCAGTGCGTCGCTCCAGTGTTTTCGTTCACTTGGCGGCTCATCCTCCCTCCGAGAGGCGGAGGGTGGTGAAGCATCGATCGCTCGCCATTTTGCGAAACGACCGACATCTTCTGCGCGCATCGACGACATCTTGCCGCGTGACATCTTCGGCGATACGGAAGATACGGAGGCTGCGGTGGTGTCACGCCGAGCGTAAGGGCCGCGATATTTGCGTATTTGTGCCTCGAGTGCGTCTCTTTGCTCGCTCATCGATCGCCACCAAGGACCGCCATATTACGCGCAGCGCTCTCCCGTCGCGGGGAGGGTGCGTTATCGCGAGATTTCGCGTAACTCGGCGAGGAGGGACGAGTTTCGACAGTGAAGAGGGTGGCACATCGGTGTCCAACGGTGTCGCGGGAGGAAGGAAAGGAGGTGTCCTTCAAGCCGAAGGTAGAAATCAGCAGGCTGGGAGGTCGGTTGAGCGAGGTGGTGGGTCCCGTCGTGGAGGAGGCCATCGAGCCAGGGGATGCGACCCCGCTGACGGGACCCTCGAGGGAGTCCTCGGTTCCTCGAGCACCCCCGCCACCGCCGCAGCGTATCACCACACCGAGTCCGCCGAGACCGCCGCCCGCTACGTCTCTACAGCATCACCAGAATCCGGGTCATTCGGCCCACTCCCCGGGACACCAGTCCCAATATCCCGGCCACAACCTTGCTCATAACCCCGGCCATCAGACCCACAACTCGGGTAATCTCGGAAATCCGGGACACAATCCAGGTAATCCCGGTCACAACCCGGGCAATCCCGGTCACAACCCGGGCAATCCCGGTCACAATCCGGGCAACCCCGGGCACAATCCGGGCAACCCCGGGCACAATCCGGGTAACCCCGGACACAATCCCGGGCACAGGTCGGACAATCCCGGGCATAGAACGGACAATCCGGGTCACAATCCCGGCAACCCAGGTCACAATCCAGGAGATCACCAGAATCCCGGCCAACAGGGTCGGAATCCCGCCGGCCAGCCGGCGCAAAATCCCACCAATCCAGAGCAGGAGACTCAAAATCCTCGCCCGGGTCAGAACGTGAGTCGTCAGCCATCGCTGAATCCCACCCAGCCGACGCAGAGTGGCAGGGATCAGGCGCAACCGACGACTCAGCAGCCGCAGCAACAGCAGCAGCAACAGCAACAACAACAACCACAGCAGCAGCCTCTACCGCAACATCCGGACCACCGTATCGCCGCCATGGGGACCGTGTTGTCGTTTAGTCCGCGGGATCGTCGCGGATCCGTTTATCCGCCGGCGGGACACCAGCATCCCGCCGACTTCACATTGAACAACTTCAACTACGAGCAGCTGAACAACGCGAAGAATCGCGAGAACAAAAGCAGCGTCGCAACGGTGGCGCCGGCGCCACCCACGAATCATCCGCCGACCAACAACAACTCGTTACAGAATAATAACATTAACCTGAACAACAACGACAACGCGAGGATCATCTCGGAGAAGAACGCTCTGGAGAAGAACTTGAAGAAGCACTCGCTCTTCATCAACGCCCTGTCGTGGAAGCGGTTCAGCACGGCGAACAACAACAAGAAGAAGCTCGACAACAAGAATAAGAACATCGCCTTCAGACAGCCGCTCGATAATATACCTATTGTTGATAAGAATAAGAACATACAAACGCCGCAGGTGAGTGCTCTCATTTCGCAGCGGGACTTCCCGTTTCGCTCGAAAGGCGCTTCTCGCGGCCCTGCTCGGTCATTTTGGAGAAATGTTTCGGCAATTGCGCGCAAAACTCGCTCGTGAGATACGCGAAACGAATGGAATTGGATCTATCGATCGTACGCTCATTTTTTTTTTTTGGACAAGTTGCAAATTCGACGAGAGAAGATTTTTGTCGATCATACGTTAAACACGCTATGATAGTGCCATGTCCGTACATGTTACGCGGGGTCTAGAGACAGATAAAATAGTGTAAGGAACGAAATGTACAACGTACTTTGACCCCAACCACGATCGAATGTCTATCGATCGTCTTGATATCTCCTTTCGTGTGGTATATTGCGCGTGTTGTTTCGTTCTTTACAAAATATCGCCCTCTTGCTAACTTTCCCCTTCGTTAGCTCGAAAACGTTTCATGTTGTGACAAGATATATATATATGTATGTATGTATGAGAAAGATATATATATATATACACGCACATATATATTATTTCACTAACTTATCATCGAGAGAGGATAATTTACTAACGAGAATTCCATTTATTCTTTTTTCTCGATTAGACGAAACCACCGGCGTCGAACAATAATCACACTACGCACAATCCGACATGCGAGAAATTGGTGCAGAAACCCCTGCCCCCTGGACCAAGGAAAACCGTCATCCAGGCCTCCACCTCGGAATTGCTCAAGTGCCTCGGCGTCTTCCTGCACAGGAAATGCACCCGATTAAGGGACTTCCAAGCCGGCGACGCTGTCATGTGGCTCAGAACTGTCGACAGAAGTCTCCTGCTTCAAGGCTGGCAGGTGAGTTGATATGATCGATTGCTTGTACGGATATCGGAGATTCGCGACAGAGAAAGGAGGAAACAATATTTCGGACGGATTTCTCTTTGATACCTCTCTCTTTATCAGACGGACCGCGAAAATATTCCGACGCGTGCTCGATAAACATTGCGGCATGTGTAATGTGCCAATGAGAAATACAGAGGTGGCATAATGGATGTTCTATATTCGCGAAAGAATCTCTACCTTGTAGCAAACACTTTCATTTACCAGATAGTTAACATGCTCCGCAAGCATGTTCGTCGATAACGTGATTAATACGCGGACACTGGTTGGACGGTTTATAATTAATATATCACTCTACTGCGGTTATATCTCGCTATCGCGATAATTAGGTAATTAAGACGCACCAACGGCACGACGCAATTAACTCCCGATGATTGAACTGCGATAACGCCGTTATATATGCGAATACGATATCGACGCGCGGTCGACGCTCGCTCGAGCGCGACGCACGAGCGCATACACAAATTTTAAAAAATTATTCTCTCTCCAAGCTGCGCGCGTGTACATATTATGGGAACAATTACGCTGAGAGAAAAAAATACACCACGTATGTTTCTGAATCGCGCGAGTTTTCGATGCAATTAATTATTTTAATGAACGACGAGTTATCGACAGGGAGGGGTTAAATTATTTTAAAAAATTTCACTCGAATATTTCACAAAAATTACGCCGAAAAGGAAAAGTGCTAGATTCACGTAAATAATTATTATTCCAATATTCCCTCGCAAATTTTCACTTGGACTAAGTAAATTTTACTTGAATCAAATCAATACTCTAGCTGGATAATTTATTTGGAAAATATTTCACTCGGATCAAATAAATATTACTTGAAAGCGAAAATTTGCTAAGGAGTAAGGTAAAAGTACCAATGTCCAAACAAGTTACAGAATCAAATAGGGATTTCATAACCCTCTTCGACATGTTTGAAATCTCTGATTACTCGATTCTGTAATCTGTTAGAAGATAGCGGAAACATTCGATTAACCAATTTACCCCTTTAGCCAGCTAGCATCGGTTTCTCTTACTTAAACCTGGACATTTTTTATTTATTATTTTGGTCTTTAAATACGAATATTTTTACGTTCAACATAGAATATATGTATATATTAAACGTAAATATACATATTCATGGTCGAAAGTTTAGACATTAGTTATTAATTAAAAACCAAAACAATAAGAATATGTCCAGATTTACGTACACATCCGGGTATTGATACTTTTATTTTATTTAAATAATTACTTACTTAAATCTAGTATTTTTTTTGCGCACTGTACACTGGACTCTCGCACAGCAACTATTATTCCAGCCAATTTCGTATATCGACGTCCATATGTCGCGATGTTACGAGACGATCGCAACCGCGATCCAATTAAGGAACGCGGATATTTGTTCTCATTGTTCTCGACACGTTAAAAGGCTTCGTTCTCCCGAGGGGCCGCAGTTAAGGACCCACGGTCCGCACGCGTCTCGAGGAAAGGGCTCCTGCAGCAACGAGTCCTCCGGGAGGCGGTTAGTGTCTCGCGGGAATACGCAGTGATTGGTAATAAGAGTCACTCAGGACGCATTAGCGGCCCGATATCGTTGCGCCGGGAATTAAGAGAATTATTTCCCAACGTTTCCCGACGCAATGTGTGGCAGCTTTCGTTGCGGATCGCGCGACGAGAAATCGCGTTTCGCGGCAACGTGAGGACGAAACTTTTCGGCGGTATCGAATCGAACGAGAGAAATGTTGAGCTTCGATTCGCCTGAAAATCCCTTCGGCTCTGAATCTCGCGCGCGTGCACGCGTATGGGTGGGATAAACGAGAAGAGGTGGGCGAGTAAATTCGGGGACGAGGTTTCCGCATCTGAATCGATTCCATCGGTCGTGAGGAAAGTTTCCCTCGTTGGATCAACTCGGAGCGGCACTCTCGACGAAATCGGCCGTCCTCCTCCGACGGGGAGGAGGAAGCAGTCCGCGATCAATCCGTGGCGACGTTTGCTCGCGGTCTCGATCGGTACTGGTTTCTCTTTATTCGATTATGAATTTAGCGTTTATGCTAATGGGGACTATCGTGCGCGATTGCGACCTATGCAAATTACACACGGCCCCTATAAGACTCGGCTTCTCCTCGCGTGGAAGCTATCGATCAAACTAAAAATATTTCACTCCGATAGTCAACTGACGTAGATGGCCGTCGGCTTAAAAATACTATCGGACTATTAATAATACAATGCAAAAATCTACGCTGTTGTTTATCCACTTTGTGCCCTGTACCGTATGCACGGTGTATCAGTTTTCACCAAAGGGTCCGAATTTTCCCTGCCAATGTCGCAAATGAAAAGCGCGGCCGGTTCTCTCCTCTTTTTTTTTTTTTTCATTCGATAGGCGAACGTTAATCTCAGAGCTGCTTTATGCGTTACTTCGAGTCGACACAATTGTCGCAGGGGGGGATCGCTCGAGTCGCTCGAGAAGAAGTGACTCATTTTTTCCCGAGTCTTGTAAAAAGAGAGCGGGCTTATTGTTTTCGTTCAAAATTGCTGCGACGACAGCGCTTGGTCATGCGAGGTAATAAACCGAAGTAAGCTTAGTGAGAAGGCAAGACCGGTGTCGCGACGATACGGTATTGCCGTTGGAACGCATTTGTATCGATACGTCGCGCACGAAAGGGTTAATTATCTGACGGCCAAATCGGCGACGTTCTTTTACCTACTTTACGACGGAAGTCTCGCTATTGACCGGCGCGCGCGTGTCGTGCAATCTTCAGCCGGTCGTGAAGTTTCATGGAAAAATAGCGCGAAGCGCGCACCGGTAATAATTCTTGACCACTGCATCGGATATTCCCCGTTCCCGTGGGTGGAGTTCCTCCTTCGTCACGAGTGACGTTCATGTCGCAATTATTGCAGACAGCTGCACACTATCCGCACTTCGGTCGACGTTCAAACTCTTTCTCTCTCTCTCTCTCTCTCTCTCTCTCTTTTTCTGAACTGATGAGCATACCATCCCCTGCTACAGCCAGCTAACTGTTTAAAAGTTAAAAAGTTGAAAAACAGAGAAGATATTTCATCGGGTGTCTTTTGTAAGCCATTTTATCTCAACAATAATTTATATTATTCTTTCGGACTTCTAAATTCAGGAGTAAAACTGTACTACGTAACACCAGGACATCTTATGAACTCTTAATAATTCCAATCTGTCGTACGAAACACAATGATCTTTCAGATGTACAGCCGCTAATATTTGGAATAAAATTCCAACTAATATCCGAAATAGTAATTCCTATAACGGCTTTAGGCATTATCTTAAATTTCTTTTACGTAACACAGTTCAGAAATATGTATATTATCTTATATTTACATATTTTGCAATTATAATGTATTTATTACACGTTTTAGGGGATTTGTCCTAGAACGTTAATAAACATATACTTTCTCTCTCTCTCTCTCTCTCTCTCTCTCTCTCTCTCTGTGAATCGAATAATTTTCCCGAGAAGGAAATACCTTCTACCTAGTCTGAATTCGCAATTAGCTTCGCGTGGTCACGTGCTTTTTCATCATGACCTCATTGAAATTGCTGGATTTTCGCAAATTTTCACAGCGAAAGAAATCCAAAAATCCGCCAAGAATCCGAAACGAGATCGTTCTTGAATGGAAAATAATGCTCGGGTTGCCGTCTCCCTTTCTATCTCTCTCCTTCTTTCTCATTTAAAATCTTTTATGACCTAATAGTCTCGTTCATGTAATTTACATGTTGTAATTTCGAGACATGCGAAACGCAAAATGTAAACGTCCTTTCGCAAACTACTCTCTGATTGTTCCCGAAGATTTGCGGCGCATTTTGCCATTTGCGACAATTTGCAAAGTATTGCGACGTTCGCGTGTTTCAGCCCACTTTAGAGGGAGGCGTCGAAGACGTTCATAATGAAGTCCCCCTGCGTAGACACGCTCCCTAGTAACACCTCTGCGCCCACCAGCGGCATCGATTTCTCACGTCGATAAATCCACGTGTGGAATCGCTGAAAGGGCGCACGAGATAAAGCCTCGCGTCAACCATCTGATAAGCTACGCGTTATCTCGGCACCCAGAAAATGTTCCACTAACGAGTCCACTAATCGAATGATTATTCAACCAGGCTCGCCCTTTTTATCGGCCGTCTAACTTTCTCACCCCCCGGTCTCATCGGATGCGCGTACTGAAAAATGAATTTGATTGGATCTACTGGACACTGGACAAATAAATGCTTTTTAGTTAAGGTGGTAGTAGCATAAAACGTGTTTTAAGAATTCGTTGAAATTTGCACTATATATAGATTTTAATTTAACCTAATTATCGGCGCAATTTAAAAACGATCGATCATTCGAAAGTTGAGATATTCTCAACCTACGTAGAATGAAAGGTCACATAAAAGTTAAGATGACGTCGAAAGGATGTTAAAACGATATATATCATTTTGATGTTATAACTAACTAAATTCACTTCAATTGTAGCGATACTCGAAGTACGTATACATATGCACATATTTAAACACTTATGTATTTTTTTCTATGTATCTCTATTAGATTAATTAATGCATAAAAACAGTATTAATAAGAAAAATAAAACATAATATTTTCATATTTGTAATATTGTGTATATGTCTGCTTCAATTTCGTTTCAAATTAATATTTATTATTTAAGTAGTGAAATAAATGTATAAGAAGGATATACTTTTGCTTGACAAATACTAAATTTGTAAGCTTTCTTGATATATGCGCCATTGAAAATAAGGCACTCAACTCTACAACTTAAAGGAAGCAAAATTTCTATGCTCTCATGAAATCAAATTTGATTCTTATAACCAGAAATTCTATTTCCTTCAATCAAAACGCGTTTAATTGTCCACTGTCAGGTAGATCCAACCAAATTAATTTTTCAGTGCGCATCGCACGCTTGATGTTTCTCGACTTTTTTAAATGACCGAAACGCTTTTACACTTC